CCGCACGCACGAGAGCTGACTACACCAAACGTCAGATCGAGATGAAAGTGGAACGTGCACGTTTGGACGCCATGTTGACTGCCTTGCAAGAAGAAGGCGAAGCTGAGTCTGCATTAGCTGCCGCCAAGACACTGGAGGCAGCTGCGGAGGCCGAAGCCATCAAGGATGGAGCAAGCATTGTCAGCAACCCCCTTGCACCTTCGGCTGAACCGGCACGACGCACAGAAGAGTATATCGACTCACATTTTGACCGTCGCCAAGAGCCCCCTGTTGAGCAACCTGGCTCGAAGGCCGCCCCCATTTTCAACGGACAGTTGCATCCGGAAAGCATCACCATTGAGTCTCAGGCCCCTCCGCCGCATCCTCCGCAGAACTTTCCAAGCTTCTCTGCCCAAGCCCCTCAAACAACTGTCGCAATGACCTTTCCACGCCCCTCCTACCTGACAAATGTGGCCGAACATTGTCATGCCGACAACAGGGGCCAGACTAATGGACCCGCACCCAGTCGTTCAGATATTTCAGACCTCACGGCCCACCTCACTCGTCGAGACCTGCTCACAGCTGGGCTCAAGGTTTTTGACAACCGGCCAGAGAATTACCGGGCGTGGAAAGCTAGTTTCCACAATGTGACACAAGGCTTGAACCTGAAACCTAGTGAGAAGCTGGACCTACTCACCAGATGGCTTGGCGGGGAGTCCCTACAGCATGCCACCAGGATCAGAGCTGTGCACATCGACGACCCGTCGGCTGGCTTGAACTTGGTTTGGCAACGGCTCGACAAGAAATACGGGTCTCCGGAGGCCATTGAGGCATCTCTCTTCTCACGTTTGGAGAACTTTCCTAAGATAGGAAACAGAGAATACACGAAACTACAGGAGCTTGCGGATCTTCTCACTGAAGTTCGGGCGGCAAAACTCGAAGGTAAATTGCCTGGCCTCAATTTCCTAGATACAGCCAGAGGAACAAATCCAATTGTCCAGAAACTTCCACACTACCTTCAAGAGAAGTGGGTGACAAAAGGCTCGATGTATAAGGAACAGCACAGCGTTCCCTTCCCCCCTTTTTCCTTTTTTGTCAGTTTCGTCTACTCACAAGCAGAGATGAGGAACGACCCAAGCTTCTCACTCCTCCCGTCTTTTATGACCACATCTGTGAATGACAAACCTACACCTAACCGATCCAAACCCAGGGTTCCGGTTTCCGTCCAGAAGACTGAAATAGAGAGAACCACTGCTCCGCCGTCTGCCTCAAATACGCCACTGGAACCCGAAAGGCAATGCCCTATCCACAAGAAACCTCACTCACTTAGAAAATGTCGTGGGTTCAGGGGAAAGCCACTAGAGGAAAGGAAGTCCTACCTGAAAGAACATGCCATCTGCTACCGCTGCTGTGCTTCCACTGCTCATCAGGCAAAAGAGTGCAAGGCTGCCATTCATTGCACAGAGTGTGACAGTGACCGTCACG